GTAAAATATGAGGCAAAAATAAATGCCTGCTATCACGTGTGCATGAAGCAGCCAGTTTTTATTTCATTTACTTCTCGATCGAGAACGGGAAATTCTAAAAGCAGGAGTCTGCTGTCGGCAAAGGGAAACTAGGAGCTTCTTTCTCAACAAATAGACGAGGCTTGTTCCTTCTTTAACTGCTTTTAATTGTTACAAATTGATGGTTACAATTTTATCGCTCGATAACGCCGTGGCAATCCTTTTTATAATGACCAGAATGACTCAAACGCTCAACTCATAACAATGCTTGAGTAAGTCTTGTAATTGGCTAGGAGAAACTCATTAGCATTGAACCTTCGAGTTATTTACTTTGTCAAATCGATTTTCTTTCCTAAATTTCACTTCCAAGCCTGGGTTTTCCGGTCGATATAAAACCAAGGAAAGCAAAGAGAGAGAACAAAAGAATTGGTTTCTAAACAAAAATTAAACAATATCACACAGTAACCACTGAAGAGCATCCCCTTTCATATAGCCCGCGCAAGTAAAATCGGACGAAGGACTTTTTTGGAAGTCTATTAACCTCTGTTGCTTACATTTTCATCGCTTAACAGTACATGTACATACCAGGATTGTATTTCGTATTAAGTTATTATTATTATTATTATTATTATTATTATTATTATTATTATTATTATTATTATTATTATTAAATTCTTCACTAGTGTAGAGCTGTTAGTTTATTCTAATGTGTTTAAAACGCCCAAATATATAGATAGCAAAAATACAACGCCAGGCCAAGAACATTTTTAATGTGGCTCTTAGCCCCACGTGGATGTGTAAAAGAGTCATCACGGAGTGTTGTGTTCGACAGCGCAGGAAATTTTCTCATCTACGAACGATAACAGTTTATCTCTATTGTAGTTTTGTCTCTTCTTGGTAAATCGTTTGAAACAGTTCTAAGACTGGGTAGCCCGCCATTGTCTGTCGCCTTCTCTACAACGCAGTATATGCATCGCGGACTTCAACGGTGTTTGAACCCGTGACCTCGCGATTACCGCTGCGATGCTCTACCAACTGAGCTATGAAGCCATTGACGTTGGGAGCAGGTCAGTTGTGGGTTCATATGTTCTCGTGAAAGAAATGAGTGTTAATGATATATGAAATAAATCATATATGAACTGCGGAAATGAAATGAAAATGAAGAAATGATCGTCGCAGTGAACGCAATTTATGCAATTGCGGAAAGAAGCCTGAAAAAAACATTCAGGACTTCAGCGGTGTTTGCCACTTTACCATGTGCGTGAATAAATATTCTGCTAAGGACTCGGTCTATTTGGTTTTTGCTAGATCGTAACGCTCTGCGCTTTTCATTACACCTGGCCGAATCTGTTGTGAGGGAAATGTAGAAAACTAAGCGAAGTGTGATTGTTCATTTTTTTTTTTATCTTCTTCTTGTAGCGAGTCTCATATTTAGTTTAGATGAATAAGTAGATTAATCGCTCTGTGGTCTGAAGGCATTTATATTCCCTCCTTGTATTTATTTTGTGAGAACAACCCTGAACCTTGACCAGTTTGTCTTCGCCCATTGGCAAATGAAGACCTCTTTTTCTATAAAGATCATGGGATCCTGCACGTCTGAAAATAATTGCAGTGGTCAATGAAGGCGCGAAAGTATTGGTGCCAGACTTAACTTTTGACGGCTTATCTCTTTTTGCGGAGCCTGTGTTTCTCTTCTGATGAGCGTTGTGTAACACTTCAATTTACTGCATGTTAACCTTCTGACTGAGTGAGTGAATTATGCTCTGCGTTGGAACAAGAAAAGAGTTCAACTCCTCGAGGATTTTCTTGGTACACCAACATGGCCGCCGTTTCGTTGTTTTGGAACACCAATATGACCGCCGTGACGTCATGTGAAAACGCTCTATACGTGCTGAACAGTAGAAGTCACACCAATGACAGACACTTGAGAGTTACTAGATGTTTCATACCATTATCATCATTCGAATTTTTATCGTTAACATTTAGCTTAAATTTTCAGTTAATTAATTTTCCCTTGCATGAACGAATACATTTGAACTTCTCCTGCCCACGCTCCTATAACGTTTCTAACGGTCCGCGGCCGCGTTTTATCCCAAACTCTTACGTCGCCATATACTATCATTTCTCGCACTCATTAAAACCTTCTTAAAGTGCTGGAGTACACTGATAGTCATGAAATATACATATATTCGCGAGCCAAAAGCACATTTTTACGACCTATGCCTGTACAAAAGAACATTTTATGAGTCTTTTAAGAGCTTTTTGGTAATCAATTACTGCTAAAAATGACATACAAAATCGGGTTGATAGCACGGTACGCGTTAGAGATATTGAGGGTGACATCAAAGTATAGCCAAAAACTGCACAAGAAATGCGTGAGAAAACAAGAAAACGATTTAAAAGGTAATCGACAATACGTGCTTAATGCCAATTTTAAACAGGTGTGTGAAAAGTTGTCGTTAGCAGTACGATGATATAGTACACAATTTGGCAGGTAAACACAAGAAGCAGGGGCGAAGCTGCCTGCCATTAATCAATTAACAGGCTTAACAGGAAAATATGAGGGAAAAATCAATGCCTGTTATCATGTGTGCATAAAACAGGCAGTTTTTACGTACATCACTTACTTCTCGATCGAACTAAAAAGAAGGAGTCGGCTGTCGGCAAAGGGAAACTAGTAGGTTTTTCCTCAACAAATAGTCGAGGCTTGTTACTTCTTTGCTGACTGCAGTTTTAATTGCTACGAATTTCAATACTTGTTGGTGACAATTCTATCGCTCGATAACTGGCAATCATTTTTATAATGACCAAAGTAACCCAAACGCTCAACTCATATCAATGCTTGAGTAAGTCTTGTAATTATTGGCTGGGAGAAACTCATTAGCATTAAACCTTCGAGTTATTTACTTTGTCAAATCGATTTTTTTTCTGTCTTAAATTTGACTTTCAAGCTAGGGTTGTCCAGTCAATATGAAACCTAGGAGAGCGAAGAGAGAGAACAAAAGAATTGGTTCCTAAACAAAATATTAACAATATCATACAGTAACAAGACCTGTTAGTTTATTCTTCGTAAAGCGAGGCGCAAAGCGCCGAGCGAAGTGAGTTTAAAATCTCGTCGCGCGCGAAGCGTGGACCGCGCGTGGATCATAGCGAGCTGCAAACTCGCATCGCCCATCTATTCCATCGATTCCCCGTAGAAACTGTTTTTTTCTCTTCTTTTCTTTTCTATATTCTTTTTCTTCACGTTTAATCTTCTTTTTGGTTATTGTAGTTTTGTTTTATTTCTTTATATTGCTTAAGTTTTTTAAATTTATAAATTTTCTTCCTTATTGCTTTACTTCCCTTTCAACCTCTTTCCGTTCTCCTGAAGTCCTTCGCGAGGTCCTGCGATTCACGTATTTCTAGTTCTAATGTGTTCAAACACGCCAAATTCAAAACGTATGTTGAATTTGTGACAAATAGATAGTAAACATACAACGCCAGGCCAAGAACATTTTTAATGTGGCTCTTAGCCCCACGAGGAGGTGTAGAAAGAGTGAGAAAGAGTGATCAGGGAGCCCTGTGATCAAGAGCGCAAGAATTTTTTTCATCTACGAAAAGTATAACAATTTCGCCATTGTAGTTCTGTAGTTTCTCGATCTTTAAACTGTTTGAAGAAGTTCCAAGGCTGGGTCGATCCATCCCCCATTCTCGAGTTTATGTTTGGTGCGCGCCTTCTGTGCAACGCAGTATTTATCGCGACGATCAATTAAAATTCAAACTTTTTAAACTTTAATTTTCGTGTCCCCTTACGAAGCCTGAGCCCAATAATTGTTTTTTAATAACAATTATTGAAAGACCGATATGAAGACCGATATGGAAAGACTGTATAAAAACGGGAACTCTGTATCAGAAGGCCAATATGGCCGTCCTCTCTGCTGAGCAGACTAACGAATTCTATTTTAACGCCATAGTGGTTGTATTTAGAAATCGATTGAAAAGATATTTGGAAACCAATAAGAGCGGACAATTTAAACTGGTGTGATACATATTATTTGCATGTAGATGATACACCCATTATGTATTTAAACATAGGTTGGGTGATCAAAATTTATAAAGCGACAAAATGTCTATAAAAACATTTCAAAGGAGCAATATCATTTAATTGATTTTGTGTAAATTAAAAGACAACACCTTGCCGCTTAACTTTCCTGTTTAACTTTTTCGGATTGTATTTTTTGTAGTGACCGAACGGCGTACGTGCCACAAAAACATGCATTTTTTTTCTTTGCTTCTTTTGACGACGCAAAAATACTGTCACACGTTATGGTGGCGCTCAAAATTCAAGAGATGTTTATAATTGTCCTTTTTATTCGTTTATTTTTTGCGGCAGAATCTCTTCCCTTAACTTAGCGGTTCCACAGAAATTAACAGTTGTTAGTTGTACAGTTGTACTTCGCCAGCCTACATACACCCCCAATAACGTTTCTAATGATCCGTCCCTAAGTTTTACTCACCAACCAACCTTTTACAATACATGGCCTATGCTATCACTTTTGCCCGTCGTGGGAGATTTAAACTAAACACATCTTATTTAAAATCCTCAGTTAAGTGCGCCGACGGCTGTCGTGGTGATTTTTTATTCACGAGTGTTCCTTAACATATTCAATCAAAAGCACATTTTTGTGACTTACGCCTGTACAAAAGAACATTTTATGAGTCTTCTAAGACTTTTTCGATAATTACTACTAAAAATGCACTGATGGTCATGATGCATTTATTCACGCGCGTGTTCCACGAACCTCTAACTCTTAACATCGTCAACAAAAAGTACATTTTTGCGATCTACGCCTGTACAAAAGAACATTTTATGAGTCTTCTAAGATTTTTTCGATAATTACTACTAAAAATGCACTGATGGTCATGATACAGTTATTCGCGAGTGTTCCACGAACCTCACACTCTTAACTCTTCAACCAAAACCACATTTTTGCGACCTACGCCTATAAAAAAGAACATTTTATGAGTCTTTTAAGAGCTTTTCGGTAATTACTGCTAAACATGAAACAGATAACTGGGTTGATAGCACAGTACGCGTCAACCATATAATTGGTGACATCGAAGTATAGCCAGAAACTACACGAGAAAAGCGTGGAACTGTCCTGATAATATCTGATTAAGAAGTTGGTAACGTTCGGTAACCAGCAAAACACAAACACTGTTGCGATAGCAATGGACAGTTGAAGCACGTTTCTGTTTCTTCTGTTGCGCTGTTGCTGACTGTTGGCGGACTGTTCACCTGGGTGTGCCTGTGTCTTGAGCTTGATAACAACGATGGAGTAAAGAATGACTAGCAACAGCACAGGTATGTATATAAACAGAATGTAGTAAGCTAGTAGGAAACTGGCAAAGGATGATGACTCTCCGAATACTTTCTCCCATTGAATGCGACACCGGTTGTCCTCTGGGTGTCCAACGAGCTCCAAGGTGCACAAGTATGGCGAATTGACCGCTACGTTAACTATCCATGTCGCGAGAATGAAGAAAGGACACAGCTTGGATCGGATGAGTCGGGAACGAAGTAGAAACACCATGGCTCCAAAGCGATCCACGGCTATCAGAATCAGATTCTGAATCGAAACGACAGTGGAAACGTTTCTGAAGAAAGGGACAAGTTTACACAAGGCCTGACCGAGCTGACCACCTATAAGAAACGAGTTGCTGTGCAAGTGTGACAGGCTCCAAGGTACCCAGAGTCTTGCATACAGCAGATCAGATGAGGCCATGTTTGCAATGAAAAAATTTATCGGTTTTCTTAAGTTCGGCGTTTTATAAACGATCATAACAATGAGAGAATTAGCGACCAGTGAAACGATAAAGATCAGACAGTAGGTAACGGTTCCTCCGATTTTCCGCGCAGTGGAATTTAACTGATCGAAGCAGCTCAAAGATCCGCTGGATCCGTTCGCCGTTGAGTTCATGGTGAGTTTTGCGACGTATCTACAGAGTCGTACACATGCAGTCAAGTAACTTTGAATTACTGCTCCGTATATTGCGTATGCTGTTTGAGTGGCAGAACTTTTATTGACAATTGTAAGCCCCCTGCGAAGCCACAGCACAGCTGTCCTCTGAGGCCTTCAATAGGTGATTTTGTTTGTAATGTTCCGGCATTATCCGCCCACCGACCTTTTGACAGAATTGAAACAGTGGGGTATTAAAATGTTATAAACCATCCAGAACACTTCATTTAGGTCATGTGGTTGTATTAAAATATAGATTGAGAAGATGATTAAACAAGTGTGTTTTAACACATTAAAAAATGATATCTTTGGTAGTACCATCATCAACTACACAAGTTTGACAGTTAACCACAGGAAGCAGAGGCGAATTCGAAGCTGCCTTCAGGCCATTAAGCCCAGGCTTAACAGGTGAATATGAGGAAAAAATAAGTGCATATTATCACGTGTGCATAAAACATGAAGTTTTTACAACATTTACTTCTCGATCGAGCTAAAAAGGAAAAAACCGAAAGTCTTTTGTCGGCAAAGAGAAACTAGCTGGTTCTTCTGACAAGGGCTTGTTCAGACTCTTTTGACTGCTCAGTTTTAGTTGTTACAAAATTCAGTACTTGTTGGCTACAGCTCTTTTTTTTTCGATAACGTTGTGACACTTCATTTATATATAATAGCGATTACTACTTTTAGGGTTCCTAGAGGGGCGTTTAATGACGGGAGGCATTTAAAAGAGAAAAGAATTGAGTATTTGTATTTGTATTTTATTTTTACCCCATCCTATAGATAATACATTAGTTGTACAATATCAATTAGTAAAAGGTTGATTAAACTGCGTGTACATAATAAAAACAAAGAAAGTTAGAATGGAGAAGGGCACATTATAGAGAACTAATTATGGCCCTTTAACAGGACTGACTTTATTTTAATATAGCTTTGTTATTCATTTAAACACAAACTCGCACGCACGCACACACACACGCACACTACATTATTTAAGCACAAAAAAGGAAACAAATAACACGAAACTATCCAGCTTCAAAAAACGCGGCCATCATCATCGCTGACCGCTGACCGAATTGAGTTTATTGTCACTTTTGTAAGCAACCTACTTTTCAAAACTAATATGCTTTCGGCGAAAATGTTAAGAGAGCTTATGAATAGCGGTATATCCTGTCATCATCAACGCCTAATAAATGATGCAGATGGTTGGACGCGCACAGTTTATAAATGTTGCCTGAGATGGGACAATCTTCAAAGGCGCCGCCGACAAAATTTTCCCCCTGGCAAGAACTAGACAAAATCGATTAAAAGTAATAAAATGTGTTTTTTCTTGTCAATTATTGTAAAGCCATTATTCTTCCCATTAACAAATGCAAGCCGTTGTTAGTCATGAACTACACTATTTAATAGTTAAATACAGGAAGCACTAAAGGGCGTAGCTGACTTTAAGCCATAAAAGCCCAGGCTAAACAGGAATTTGAGGCAAAAC